AGCCGTGTTGTTGAAGCCGATGCCTTGGCTAATTTCAGGAAATGGCTGGATAAGATCTTTAGCTCAGTCGGCTACTACCCAGCTAGATGGGCCCAAAGGTTTTGTCTCCTTTTCTAATGGGGCTGCTCCCCTGACAGATTGTGATTTAATCTGAGAGGCTCCTGTGTGAACAAGTGCAACATCCTCAGCCTCTGATTGCAGGAACAGGTGGTTTAAAAGGGAAAGAAATGGCACAAAAAATAAGCACAATTGTCTCAGTGCTGCACGGCAAATCTTTAGGAAAGTAAAGTACATATTTAATGTAAATATTTTGGTGCTGCTGGTTTTCTGTGGTAACCAGCATAAAAAAGTGACTAGCTTGTTAAGAATGGCATATTCTTCCTAATTCGCAGTTAACGCTCCTGATTGATGTTAGAGCTGTTCACTTGGTCTGATCCATGGCAAGAAATGAGAACAGCTGGTCATTAAACACCAATATTCATCAAAGAAAATCCTGAACTTCCACATTGATTGCTTTGGAGTTAAGGGCAACATTAAAATATGAATGTGTCACTCTAATAATTGAGATGAATTGTTGTGTACCTTATCATTTTATGTAGATTTATTGCACCGTTGTTTAAAAACGACATGGAGGTATTGTTTATAGTCTTGATCAGGCAGCAGGTTAATTGCCTTAAATCTCCCCCTTCTCTTTAGATTAAAATAAAAGCTAGCTTAATTAAAACTTAAATGAGGTAAGAGCATGGAGCTGGGTCAGTATGTAAACTGCAGAGGTATAAGCAGAGGTTAATTCCACATTGAAAAAAGCAGAGAAAAATAGTCTCAGTTTTTCTGCTGTGGAGCTCTCTTCATCGAATTAAGCTTAATAAATAATTATTAAAGACAAAATCTAGAGCAACATCACAGAAAATTCTTCATGTTAAATATTGTGATGTTCACAATAAATTCTCTAAATCAACAGATTCAGAGTATTTCCAAGACAATAAATCTCCAACTGTTGGAGCTGGAGTCCGACTCCGTCTGGACAGCTCCTGGAGCTACGCGCAGGGGAAAGTAATTTCCCTTGGAATAACCGCTTATCCCTTCAGTAAGCACACACATTCGAGATACGGCTCTGCGAGAGACGTCACATGGCGCTCGCTGGTTCAGAGGCCTATTCAGGAAGAAGAATGTTCACTCAATTTCTTTTGAAAGGTTGGACTGGCACTACAAGGCCCAAGATGATTACTAGGATAAAGTTAAGATTAATTACGATGATAAGGTCTGGATGGAGGTGTACAGCACCAGAACAATCTGGAGAAGGTTAGGTCGTTCTGGGTAATGCTGAAGTGCCACCACCTGCCTATTAAAACAGGTAATGGCACACATTCCTACTTCCTTTCAAGCACATTCACAACACTCCCTCCTCAGTAAATAAATTAACCTTTTACTTTCACAGGGTAATTCACAATCGTCATGGTATCCTGGGCAGCGCGGTGGCACAGCTGTTAGCATTGCTGCTGTGCAGCACTCAGGCTCTGGGTTCAATTCCAGACCTGGGGTGCTATCTGCTATAGGGGTATGTGCTCCCAATGTCCCCCTGGATTTGCTCAGTGTGCTAGTTTTCTCCCACAGTCCTAGGGCTTACTGGAAGGATAATTGGCTTCTGGGACAACAGATCCTAGTGGGAGTATGTGCATGCCTGTGGCTGTCTGCCCTGTGATGGACTGGTGTCCCGTCCAGGGGGTATCCTGCCTTGCTCCCGTTGCTTGCTGGGATAGGCCCTGGCTCCCCTGCAGCTGGACGAAGTGGTCAGAAAATAGATGGATGCATCATGGCATCCTAGCAGTAAAATGTCCTTCGGTGGTCTAAAACTGTAGTATAAACCAGAGATAATTCACACAGGTGAAAATGATTTTTTTGATTTTTTTTTTTTTATCGTGAGCCAAAATCTCACCCTGAGTGCCCTGAGAGCGAACTGTAGTTAAAGCATCCTCTCAGCACCAACGCAAAGACCCCTCCTGCCCGGTTCATGCGGTCAGCGTGCCTTCACAGCTCCTGCAAACCGCCATCAGAATAACTCCGGCTGCCAGTCTGCACAGAGCTCTCCCTCAGGAGAAGCCTGCCTTCATGCATCAATGGCACTTTATTCCTGCAAGCCTCTAACAAGAGCATGAGCTCAGATATGCAGTGACGGAGCACAATAATGTGCCTACAGGAAGAATCCACAGCCTAACCAAAATAAACAGATAAACTGAAAAAACAACAACTCTGAAAGCAAAGTATTGAATACTTGAATGCCTCTTTACCATGTAAACCCTATTTGGTTTAATAGGCACGGATGAGACCCCAGGCTTTGTTACTACTGCTACCTATATAAAAAAAAGAAATGGCATGAAATTTGGCAATGCTGCTAATTTATGTCACTGCTAAACTGTTGCTACCAGGAATGTAAACTCACCTTGCTGAGGCCCGAGTCCTCCACCGACAGGGTACATGAAGCTAGAAAACACAAGGAAACAAAACATTAGCATAATTACTCCCAGAGTATTTTATTAACGAACACCTTTCCCTGCCAGCGTCGGGGGCCACACAGCAGCAAGCCCCACGATCAATACCCCGAGACTCACACGAGTCCCCCCGCTTGCTCTTCCTCTGCCAATAAATAAATGATGCAGTGTGCCAAGTGTTCACATAGGAAGGAGCGTCCTTCCTTCCTGAATTTAAACAGGAAAACCATGAAAAAAACTAAGATTCACTCTCTAAGAAATATTCAGGGTTACTCACCGGAGCCAGCTAAAGAATAGGCTGGTGTGATAAATGAAGAAAAAAATAACTGTATGCACTGAAAATGACAAATACACTAACCCCACACAGCCCCAAACATTTAAAACATTCGCTTTGCATTACATCTGCTTCTCTGCATAAATGAAATTGTGTTTTCCCTAGCGTTTCTCCTTCAGTACTCAGTTTTTAAGGGAGGGCGATATTGCACTCGGAGCAACAGCATTTTCTCACTAAAATTTTGATCATTTATTGATCAAATACACATGACAAATTAAATTCCAATCAAATTCAACATACTGCCAGGGGCCCACTACTGTATCATAGCCAAAGAACCGCCTGAAAAAATACCAAGAACAGCAAAAGTCTTCCTATCTTGGAATCCACATTATGACTGCTCCATTTTATTTTATACTGTTTTGCTTTGGTCAAACTAGTCTCCCTGAGGAAAGGGCTGCTGCTTGGGTAGAACGAGAGACTGAGAGCTGTGAGAAAAAAGATCTGCAGATCAGAGAGGCAGGAGAGCTCCTCTTGGTCTTCTGCATTGGCCTGGCCCCCTCCATTCAAACAGCATTAATCATCCAGGCATCTGTAGCGCCAGTGACTCAGCACTGCTCTTCTGCCTGAAGCCTGGCTGACACACAGCGTCCTCATGGCTTGGGACACAGCTGATGCAGGGACAAGCAATGACTGAGCAGTTGCAAGGGAGGGCTCTCAGAGGGTTCAGAAAACCTCCCAATCTCTTTTATGTGACCAAATGATGTAGGTGCAGCGAAGGAAGCAGTGTACAGAAAGCTTCAGGGTTAAAAGCAAAAAACTGCAGACTTTGAAAACCAGGTTAACACGGCATATGATATATTAAAAAAAACAAAAGTAAGATAGCAGGTCATCAGATTTGAACATTTAAACACTCAAGGTTGGCCCATTTTCAGCCTACACAACGGAAAAGACCTTTAGACACAAGGAAGCACACAGGCTGCTGTACATACAAAAATGTCACTGTAGTGAGTATGATCTCAGAGGATCAAGCTTAGTGCAATGCCTGCTCATAAAATAATGGCGATATAGCCCATCTACATTGTATGGGTGACAGGGCCTACTCCTGTTATGCCCCCAAGCTCTGGAACTCTCTCCCCAAAGATATCAGAGGGTCACCTTCTCTAAACTCCTTCAAATCCAGGCTCAAAACCTTCTTCTTTAGAAGAGCCTTTACTGAACTGGTTCCATTCTTTACCCCTCTGCTTCTACTTTACTTAGTACCACCATCCACGGTCTCCTCTGTGTATTGTAATTGTGTTTTATCTTGTGTATTCTTTTTTTTAATGGTGTTGTCATTCTGGAAAGCGCTTTGAGAAGCCACCTTTAAAGGCACTATATAAAATAAAGTTTATTATTATAATACAGCGAAGGACACTAGGAAAGAGATTTGGATATGGGCAACCCAGAAAAACAAATCATAAAACCACCTTGTCTCTAGCAAGAGCTTTAAACCGAAATCTCCACTAAGACTCCAAAACCCTTCCATATAATACTGCATCTGTCAAAATGCTGTATGAGGAATAAACAACTGAAACTTCCCTCACAGTGAAGCCAGCCTGTGATTACATTGAACCAAACTCACAAGACAACAAAAGCATACACAAAATATTTCCTGGCCTCAAGGAGGAATTAAGCCTAATCTGTTAATGGCTCTACTGCCTGTGCCTTTGGGAATGAGCCGAGCTCTTTCGGTCTCTGACCCTTATTTTAACTGTCCCCCAATGGCCAAGTAAAAATAACAGTTTCAGAAGCAAATCTCTTAGCACAATGTAACATAATGGTCTTTTTTGTCCTTGGACTTGGAGCCGTCCCAGCTCAGTGCTTTGCCGTGAATGTAATGGTTTTTAATGCTTATGGGGTTTATAACTGTAGCATTAGCTGGGACTCACAGATTGTAAACAACACCCCTAGCAAACACATCTGCACATACAGTGATCCAGCTACAAAATCCAAAAATGCATACAGATAAGAGGCTGTATCTCACACAGAAATAAAAATGCATATATCCAAGTCTAAAAATTAAACCTGACTTTTCTGTGTAATATTAAAAACACTTCTCTCATAACAGTATAAGAATTTATTTTCTATGTTAACTGAAGCCTCATTGGAGTACAGCTCCTCTCTGTTGTGGACATTTTTACTACTCGCTGTCTCAGAAAGGCTGGAAGCATGGTTAAGGATACCAGTCACGCTGATTTTTCACTTTTCTCCCCCCTTCCCTCTGGTAAGGAGCATAAAGGAACAAACTTCCAGAATCAGAGAGAGTTTCTTCAGATTACTGAACTCTACCCCTACCACTGGCTCACACTGATGGGGTTTTTTACGTTGTATGTTATTTAATTTGTTGTTGCTGCTGCTGCTCTGTGTTTATGTTTTTGGTGATTCCTTTAATGTCTTTATATTGAAGCATATGAAAATATGAAAAGCATTTCATTGCACTTGTGCACATGACAAATAAACTGAACTGTCTCAGTCCTAGTCAAAGCACTAGGGCTGTGTCTTGATCAGGATGTTTAAAGGCACTCCACAGTACCTTAATTAAAAAGCAGTTTAATTCCAGCTAGCCTATGTTCTGTCTAAACCAAACTGCATCTCTTGTAATGAAAGCTCCTTTCTGAAAAAAAGATGAGCAAAGACACATGCATCCTATTCAAAAAACACAACACACAAAGCCCTGAGCATTAAACATTCACAGGGTTCTGCCATCTCTTTCGAGAAGAGCTTCAATTATTGATGATGCCTGTAAAAGAATCACCTTCAGTGGAAATGTTATGTGCACATCACAGATTGAAAGACCCTTAGGTGCTGTAAAACCTGTGGGTAGCATATTATGCACAGAGCAAGATCTGATGTTTGAAAAGTTTTTGAATGTCATACTAAAGTGTGATGTAATTTAACAAACACTTAAGGATGCAAAGATACTCTCAGTTTTAAATGTGGGATGCAGGTAAACTATGCAACATTAACAAGTTTCTTAAGCAGTTGAAAAGCAGTTTTTAAAGCTAGGGTTCCAATGCATCAAAGAACTGTTCCTCCTAAGTCTATGCTCGAACATACTGTACAACACAATGTTTTAACAGTTTTTACTTTGCTCAAGTACAACCAAAACTGAGAAATGTTACAGGTGGCTGAAAAACCACCAGGTAACTTGACCATTTCTGGCATAAAACATCATGACTGTCAGACACCATGCCACATTTTTTACATGATACTAACCCAGTCTTATATATATATAGACTGAGATCTATTCCTTTCAAAGTCAGCTTATAAATGCATTACACTGTCGGCAAAGACCCTATAAAAACATCAGAGCTGCATTCTCAACTTCAGACTCCCAGTGCAAGACTATCAACAGCAGCACAGCATATGAGCCTCAAACTCCTGTTGACAGCTCATGGCTTATTTAAAAACAAGCTAAAAACATGCAGGCCAAAATTCTTGACAGTATTCCTAGCACATCCTCATCCTGCGGAGAACACATTCGGCAAACAAGCCCCAGAGGGAAAGCAATGTGCATGTCCTGTGGTTTGACAGGAAAATAACTCCTTCTTATATAAGCCAGTAGCCGCTACAGTATATCCATATACAGTATGCAGTTTACTCTATAAGTCTAAATCAATTTACATAATACAGATCTCCAGATTATAATCCATACCAAACAACACCTAAAATGGATCTATAAAACTGAAGTGTTTATCGGCTACTCCATCTAACGTATTAGGTTAGGCACCTAAAACGCTCAAATTCAACCTGAGGTTAAATAGAAAAAAAAAAATTTTTTAATACACGCATGGAGGACACCCTCCATGCGTGTATTATTATGCACTACGTTTTTAATACAGAAAACTATGTTTAAATCATTGGCTTTACAGTGGGATAAAAATTGTTCGATATGTCCAGACAGACACGAGGTGCTGAATGATCAAGTAGGCTCACGCACAGTAGAGCCCGCTGCTCTTAGTAAGGAATGAATCCCACAACGATAACCCTTTCATATCAACATTTGGAAGAACATAAACAACTGTTAAACTGGATCATACATATCCAGTGTTTTACAGCTTCTACCAGTAAAATACAGACTTTACAAGCTCAAGTACATTCTGCTTAAAACTCCAGTCATTCACTGCCACAGTTTAACATTGCAGCAGCACTAAATGTGGATATGTAATTGGAATGATTCACATCCAAACCTACAGCAGGCTGAAAAAAGCACAAGCTCAAACTGACCATTATATCAGTCACACTACATCAGCAATAGCAGGAGTTCACAACGTTTTATGACGCAGAATAACGATGAAAGGCAAGACATCTAGTTGTGCAAGATGCAGAAGATCCATATAGTATCCCTCAGACTAGTCTCTACAAGTAGTCAACGTAGAAAGCACTGCTTGAATTCTAACAAGGGCTAATTCTCCTCGTCATTTGACACTTATTGTACTAAGACACAAACAGCTACTTATGAGACAAATGGCTAGAAGATGAGATGAGCATACAACGCTTTCTGTAACAGTTGCCTTATTCTGAAATAAATTGGAGAGATTCAATAGAAGGGCTTTTAAGATGCACCGGGAATAACCTAAATTTAATTCCTCAAATTTGCATCTTCAGACTTTTAGGACACATAGTAAAACACCAGGACTGGCAACTGTTCTGCAAGTGCTTGTTGTTTGGCTTCAGCAGTGGCCTTGCTCTACAGGTGGCCTGTGCACATCGGCCTCTACAGCAGCACACTGCAGACTCCCTGGGAAGGCGGAGCGTCGATCGCTCCATTACGAAGCCGCTCGGCCGTTTCCCGGATTCCTGCAGAGGGCAAACATCGTGAAAGGCACATTCTTTGACTGTGGGGGGGGTGCCAAGTTTGGATGACAGAGCAGATTAACTTAAAGCACGGCACGCAGAACATCCTAGAAAATATCGCAAACTGACCTTGCGCTACAGTATTGAAATTACCAGCTCGGGAGACCATCATCTGCTAGGCATGCATTATTTAAACTTGCTCAGCAGGGCCAATACATAGCTGATGAAAAAATCATGAACGCTTCTGTGCTCTGACTACAGTATGAACTAGACCCACACATCATAATATTTGAAACGATTAACAACTGAGGTATCTGATGGGATAAAATTCTTTATTTGCTACAGAGGAAATCCTGTGCTTTTCAGATGTTGCAAAGCAGTTTGATGTTTTTTTCCTCCATTTTTAGTTTAGAACTCTTATTTGATCACTTATTTTAAATGTAATCTGTACTATGTACTAAGTACTTTATGTTTCCAAGCAAGAGTGAAGTCTCAGAACAGCAGGCATATCATGGCCTGTAATGCTAACACAACAACAACGGCAGCTTTCACCATTTATCAAGGAGGGCTGTCAGAGTGCCTGTCTCTGCATTTACTATCTATTTGCCTTCTTCTCTGCAGGTAAACTGCTATTCTTCCTGGGAAATATAAACTGCCTCCAGTCTCATTGAGGCCACTCAAAAACTCTTATTCATAGTGTTCAATAAACAACATGAAGGCAGAGATCAAGATGATTTTTTCACAAGCCACACTTGAAATCCATTCATGCATTGTTTCACATAAATATACCGTAGACACATCTGCACCACCTGTCACCACAGGCCTATCTGTGCATTTAAAAAAAATACAAAATTCTGTATTGCAATTTTGGCTAAATACAATATCCTTTATTGTTTCTGGAAACAAGGGATATAAACAGGATATACTTATCTACTGCCAACTATTTCCTAACTAAACAGTATTTTTATGGGACTGTATAACAAATACAGCGACCATAACTGTGCAGGAATGCGTTAAATGTAATATTAGGTAAATGTAATAACCTTTATCGTTGAATAAAACAAGCAGAAATAATTTTGACAAGTTTCTTTCTGGCCTGTTTTGCTCCATAATGTTTTCATATACCACCTCCTATACATCTGTCAGTGGTGGCCCCTTAACTGTGCATTTCCACATGAAAACTGAAGGCATAAAGGACGGATTTCTAAGAAGACAATCGAGGCGTTGCCACATCTAGCTGAGCAAAAATGCCTCCCAAGAGCTGTATCAAGAGCTGTCTAAATCAGTTTCATACACCAGAAACAAACAAGTTCAACAGCTGTTACAGGTCATCCAGATTAATATTAGAGATAGACTTATCAATTCAATTCAAGGTGCTTTATTAGCATGGCCGATAGGTACAATAAGTGTTGCCAAAGCAAATACAAATTACAAAAAAATATAAGTAAAATAAAATCTACAGACATTTACAACAGAGGCATATCATAAAATATTTACATATACTGTAAACATCCATCTCTTCTATCTCTCACAGAGAGCTGAAGCCTCCTAAAAACAAAAGCAAAGGTTCAATGAATATTCGGAAGTAATACGGCTACGTAACTTCTGTACCATTTTTAGTGCATCTTATCGTGTCGCCCAATCACGGGGTGCGTGATCTACTGAGAATGCCTGATACTGATGACCTCATCTGCAGTACCTGCCACCAAGCAAATACGTCCATTACAGAAAAACAATCACATACACGGTGAAATAACTCCTGATAGTCTGTGCCGACTGAAGAGGGAGAAGTGACAACGGACTACAAATACCATGCACATCACTGTGCCATCTCCCCGCACTGTTTACACGAAATTACAAAAACACGCATGAGACAAACAAACCACACATCCATTTCATACGAGTCGAAAACGACCGAGTGTTTATTTCAGTCGCCAAACAGAGTGACTTATGTATATACCCAGGTATTTCTAATAAACCGTATTTAAATTCAGAGCCAGCTGCTGACACCAAATTAACGAAACTCTCATACAACGTAACAGTTGGGCTAAAGCATTCCACTTACGTTTTACCTCACATTCAAACAAAAAGAAATAAGCCGAAAACATTCCGGAATTCGAGTTAAAACTACATTTTTACACTTTAATAATTAATTCAGCCAGCTCATTCAGTCCTGCGTTTCACTAGCGTTACAACACCAGACGACGGGCGACAACAGACCACGCCCTGCTCTCGCTTTCAAATAAGACAAACCCGGACACTTTCAGAAACCAAAAACGTTTCTACCGGAGACATACAACGCAGAGAAGTAGATAATTTACTGGGAAAAGCCGTACCTGCCGCCACCCCCTGCTCCCGGCCGCAGCGCCATCTTAAAAACACAGAGCTAGGAGGCGTCAGCTGAGAACACACGGACAAGCACTTCCGGGTCACCTGCTGTCGAACTCAGGTGCTTTAAATGGGTTGACGCTCGTGGTTCTGATCGCTGCAGAGCCACAGGCCATATTTTCATACTAAATTTTAAAATAAAATTTGTTAGATGTCCACAGCTAACAATATACTCTTTACACATCCGAGGCTAGTAAACCGTTCAATCTTATTCTCTTCGAGTAACAGGTGCCGAGTCACGATTACAGTGCTATCAAAATGAGATCATGTTTATTTCAAGTGCTATTGACGGATCTCTTCAAGTTCCTTTTTTTATTTCAGCAGCATCAGCCGTTCAATAGGCGAATTTTACCCATCTTTGCATTTTCCGGTTTTGAAATGAACACCTCTTCGGGAACACAAGCAACTCTTGTAATACGATAAGAGAGGGTCTTAAGGTTCTTGCAATCAGATAGATACTGCAGAACCCTTACAGAAGAGAACACATTAGAACATGTTTAGCCTCAAGACACTGATAGCCCTTGGCATTGCCCCCATCACACTGTGAAAAGTGAAATCACATTAATATACCGTGTATTTGCAAGGAATCGGTTTTTTAAAAGTTTATTATCCAGACAACAAAAATAAATAGTTGATTTACTGTATAAACAAATGAATGAAATACAAATGTAGGAGAATCATTAGTCTACAGAGGAATTGATGATCAACATGACATAACATGAATCCAGATTTCTAACCCCTCCAAGTTAGAAAGCAGCAAATTCAGCATTTGGTCAGACACTTGACTGCAATGGTACTGCATGAGCTGAGCCAGAGGCACGCTGGTGTTCCGGCAGTCAGGAGATCACTCCAGTAGGACACAGACAGCCGGGCTCCTCCTAGCGTTTGGGAGCTGGAATTCAACACGGATGTAGAGTGAGCTGCAGTCACTTGTGCTGTTCGGCAGAAGCAGGACAGTTCAGAATGC